GGTTCTCTTCCTCTTTCAGCATCTCAGGCCTCCTCCATGTTGGAGGCCTCAGGGAAACCTCTTCCCTCCCACCAGCCCATGCCCACCCCCAGGCCTCGGCCTAGCCTAGGGGGCAGGCTGAACAGGACCCAACCCTATTCCATGACTGGTCCCGGCTAGTCTACCCACATGGCAGATCCCACCAATATAGGTACCCTATCCCAGCATGCACCACTGGCTGAAAGAAACCCAGTGATTGGCTGCTGTACTGTACATGCATTACAGTGCCTCTCATTGGCTGTCCCACAATATGACAGAGTCACACACCGCCCAGGGGGGTACAGGCAATGCCAGACACCTGGAATTAAAGGAGAACTATGGGGTTAGGGCTTTTCCCCATAGTTCTCCTAAGCCCTCGTTCACACCTGAACGTTTTGTAGCGCGTTCTACGCTCGACGAACGCTCTACAAAACGCTCTAACATCTAAATCCCATAGTATTCAATGGGTCTGGTTCACACCTTGGCGTATTTCAGCCCGTCCCTAACGCGCTACAAAACGGCCCACGCCTGAAAAGATACATGTACTACTTTGGGCCGTTTTTGTTGCGCGTTTCCATTGGGATACAGCCAAGTAGCCCTCGGAAACGCGCGTTTGTCGCGAATCGCTGTAAAAAAAACCGTGCGACAGATGCGCATATGCAATACGCCTAGGTGTGAACCAGGGCTTAGGGTAACGGGAGGACATAAACTAGCGTTCTCCCGTCACCCAAAACTCAGTATACCGCGAGCATTGAGATGCCGCAGCTGAAACGGATCCCGACAATTATGTCTGGATCCACCCAGCTGCGTGAGTGACACCTGGCTCTGCCTATCTAGAGGCAGAGCCAGCTGTACCCGCCCCTCCCCCGTCCGTTCCGCCAGTCAGCGCTGGAGGATCGGAGCGGGGAATCCAGTCCCTCCCCTGTCACGGCTCTCTGCAGTGATAGGATCGAGAAGTGAGCGAACGCCGGTATGTGTTCGCTCACTTCCCGATCTACTGAGCCGACCTGTGACATTGTAGTGTAGGGTGCTACACTACAATGAAAAGAGGAGGAAGTCACATGACTACGGGTCAGAGACTGAAATGGTTAAACAAGTCATGTGACTTCACCCTGGAGAGATTTCTATCCTCTCCCATGCCTCTGCTTGGGAATGTAATGATGTCGGGATCCGTCCTGTGACCTATGACGAGTCGATGTGACTGATCCCCGCAAGCTCTGAACTCCTACAAATCTCTCATCGGGAATACACCGGATCCTCTTATGAGGCCGCCGGATCTTCCGATGAACTGCTATCAAAGTTTAGTTGGCCTTCGTGTTACTGTGCTCATGGGGCTGCCCTGTCTTCTTACATGGGGAGGTTTGACGACATGAAAACCACATTCTCATACAAGAGTCCTGTGTATTCTTCCTGAATCTTGGTGAGCTCTGTGTATTTCTTCCAGATCTGTGCAGTCATCCAGGAGCTTCCTGTAACAAAGACCGGTCACTGCTGCTCTCTCTGCTTGAGCAGGGTGACTGGTCTTATTTCCACTCCCTCCTGTAATAAAGACCGGTCACTGCTGCTCTCTCTTCTTGTGCAGGGTGACTGGTCTTGTCTCTGCCCCCTCCTGTAATAAAGACTGCTCACTGCTGCTCTCTCTCCTTGTGCAGGGTGACTGGTCTTGTCTCTGCCCCCTCCTGTAATAAAGACTGCTCACTGCTGCTCTCTCTCCTTGTGCAGGGTGACTGGTCTTGTCTCTGCCCCCTCCTGTAATAAAGACTGCTCACTGCTGCTCTCTCTCCTTGTGCAGGGTGACTGGTCTTGTCTCTGCCCCCTCCTGTAATAAAGACTGCTCACTGCTGCTCTCTCTCCTTGTGCAGGGTGACTGGTCTTGTCTCTGCCCCCTCCTGTAATAAAGACTGCTCACTGCTGCTCTCTCTCCTTGTGCAGGGTGACTGGTCTTGTCTCTGCCCCCTCCTGTAATAAAGACTGCTCACTGCTGCTCTCTCTCCTTGTGCAGGGTGACTGGTCTTGTCTCTGCCCCCTCCTGTAATAAAGACTGCTCACTGCTGCTCTCTCTCCTTGTGCAGGGTGACTGGTCTTGTCTCTGCCCCCTCCTGTAATAAAGACTGCTCACTGCTGCTCTCTCTCCTTGTGCAGGGTGACTGGTCTTGTCTCTGCCCCCTCCTGTAATAAAGACTGCTCACTGCTGCTCTCTCTCCTTGTGCAGGGTGACTGGTCTTGTCTCTGCCCCCTCCTGTAATAAAGACTGCTCACTGCTGCTCTCTCTCCTTGTGGAGGGTGACTGGTCTTGTCTCCGCCCCCTCCTGTAGTTTTCTGCAGGCAGTCTGTAGTGGGTCCCTCCCACAGCTCTCCTCTCTTCACAGGTTATATACAGCCCAGTGATGACATCACTGCTACTTTTAGGAAGCAATATCTGGTTTTGCCAGGGTACCGTTTAGTGCACACAAATTGGATTTATATCCTTCGTGGCTATTAGAGGAAATGATTTAAAATGTAACTAAAGCTAAAACATTTTTTTTTTTAGTTTTGGACAGAGTGGCGAGGAATTAGAATCCCTCTCATGTTTTTATTGCTCTCTTTGTACCCATTGGGGAAATTTCCCCTCACTTCCTGTCTGGACAGGAAGTGATTTAAAATCTCTCCAGCGGGGACACATACTGATCCAGTGACAACTCATCCTGTCATTTATTCCCCTGTGTGCAGTGAAATCAGAGGAAGCAAATTTCAGTCCAGGAGAGGAGTCAGTACAACTGTGCAAGACTGAAAGGGATGACCGGGGTTCCGCTTTATGTTTCTGTGGCCTTTTGCTGATATCTACCCCCACGGCTTGGTTTGGGGAATAGAGATTCTCTCTGCGAAGTTGGATCATGTGCTCCTCTACGTGCCGGGCCTCTGCTTAGTCTGGGAAGGCGGCGGAGCGGCAGATAACTTATCTCGGCTCATCAGACGGGTCGTGCACCACGCTCCCAGGCTGGCTGTACACGCACACGGGTGATAATGACATACAAACATGACTGTCAGATCCGGGCCCCGATAAAAGCTCCTGTACTCCGCTGTATAATAACAGTGCACGGCCCACGAGAGGTGCATTGGGGTACCCTTCAAATAAATGACAATGCAACTGGTGCACACTGCGCGCTAGGTGTGACAGCGGGAGCTACGCGCATTTCACGCAATGCTATGGTGCAAAATGGCCCCTAAAGGCGGTTCTCTGTCACCTGGCTCTAAGGGTCCTCAGAGTGCTCAAAAATAATATATAAAGGATGAAAGCGCCACAGGCGAGTACAAACACAAGTAAAAAAGCATCGGCTATAGTAGAGGATATTGCCCTTGCGTTTTGGGGGCTTGAGGGAAGCCTCGCCAGGGTTATTGCGCTTAATTGAAGCTTCTCCATTCATCTGACTGCATGTAGAATTTTGAATATTCCCGGAGCCTCTTTAAATGTGTTGTTCCGGATAACATGCGTTTATCCTTTAGGCCTCATTCACACTGCTAAGAGCCGGCCCGTACAGATCCGTGCAGCGTGCACAGCCTGTTCTTCTCTATGGGAGTACGCGGCCGTACGCTCACCCGAACTGCACATCCGTGCGGGTGCAGGTGTCTGTGCTTGGACGCACACAGGATCCATCCTGTCTGCATAAGAGTACAGACACCAGCACCCGCATGGACGCGCAGGTCAGGTGAGCGCACGGCGGCGTACTCCCATAGAGAGGAACAAGCTGCTGCGTATAATCACACGCAGCACCTCTCCGTCCCGGGAGCAGCCCAATACGGCCGTGCACGCCGCACGGATCTGTACAGGTCGGCTCTTAGCAGTGTGATTGAGGCCTAATAATCTTGACCACACGTCAGATGATACCGCCAAAGCCTTTCTGGGGGCTAACAGCAGCTCCCCCTTCATCGGGCCTGAGGGAGGAGATAACATAAAACAATACATGAAAGAGGTACGGTGTGTCTAAAAACAGCAAACAGAAAACCCCCAATTATAAATGTACTCTACTATAAAACAATGTATATCAATAGAAATAGAGTGCTGGGTGTAAATTGGGAGTAGTAGTAGCTACATGAACACAATACAGCTCATGCTCAGTGCCAGGTGTATATTAGGGGTAGTAGTAGCTCTATGTACACAGTGTTTGGTGTATATTAGGGGTAGTAGTAGTTGTATGCACAATGTACAGCTGATGCCCAGTGCTGTGTGTCTATTAGGAGTAGTAGTAGCTCTATGTACAGTGTTTTACAATGTTTGGTGTACATTGGGAGTAGTAGTAGTTCTATGTATACAGTACAGCTCAGTGCCGGGTGTATATTGGGAGTAATAATAGCTGATGTACACAGTGTTTAGTATATATCAGGGGTTGTAGTAGTTCTATGCACACAGTACAGCTCATGCTCAGTGCTGGGTGCATATTGGGTGTAGTAGTAGTTCTAAGTACACAGTTCAGCTCATGCGGAGTGTATAATGGGTGTAGTAGTAGATCTATATTGGGTGTAGTAGTAGTTCTATGTACACAGTTCAGCTCTTGCTCAGTGCTGGGGGCATTGTGGGTGTAGTAGTTCTATGTACACAGTTCATCTCTTACTCAGTGCTGGGTGTATATTAGGTGTAGTAGTAGTTCTATGCACACAGTGTAGCTCTTGCTCAGTGCATAGTGGGTGTAGTAGTTGTGCTAAGTACACAGTTCAGCTAATGCTGAGTGTATAATGGGTGTAGTAGTTCTATATTGGGTGTAGTAGTAGTTCTGTGTAAAATTCAGCTCATGCTCAGTGCTGGGTGTATAATGGGGGTAGTAGTTCTATATTGGGTGTAGTAGTAGATCTATGTACACAGTTCAGCTCATGCTCAGTGCTGGGTGTATATTGGGTGTAGTAGTAGTTCTATGTACACAGTTCAGCTCATGCTCAGTGCTGGGTGTAGTAGTAGTTCTATGTACACAGTTCAGCTCATGCTCAGTGCTGGGTGTAGTAGTAGTTCTATGTACACAGTTCAGCTCATGCTCAGTCCTCTCTCTGGATTACTGGATTACTCTACCGCTGACGTCACTCAGCGATTCTACACTACAACCTTCCACCGGGCCCCGCCCACTCCCGCGCTGTATGAGAGAAGTCGTCCAGCCATTGGCCAGACCTCTCGCGTCACCTCTCCACGCCTCCCTTTCATTGGCCTCGACGCGGTGCCGTGGTCCCCGCCCCCTTCCTCCTCGCCGCTGTGTGACAGTCGCCGGCGGCCATTCGGGGGGCCGAGGAGGAGCAGAGGCTGCGTCAGCGG